ACTATTCCGCGCTCGGCACCGCGATGGCCGACGGCCTACCGGGATATTTACACAAAGTGCGCGGCTCGCGCTCGCACCTCCCCATTCCCAGCTAAATGTCCCACCAACCGCGGCACTTGCGACCTCTATCCGCCCACCTGCCTTCGGAAGAGCCGTTGTCGCCCTTTATTCAGGAGATGGCGCTTAATTCTCATGAACATTCGAGTTGCGGCGATGGCGCCCGCCGCCCTACGGAATATTCATGGCGCAAAGCGATAGTCGCTGTCTGGCCGATGTGTCAGAGTCAAGCATCGCGCCGCGGGGTCTCATGGGAGTCGCGGCTGGGTCTGGAGGCGCCTGAACCGCATTCCCCATTGCCTGCCGCCCCACGCCTGTTCCCACACAAAGCATTGCATCGTTTCTGGACGGGCCTTTCGAGCAGGAACCAATTGCGGACCATTCTTTCCGTGGCGGTATTTTGCGCCGGGGGTACCAACAAAGGAGCCGTCAGAATGGGGCTGTCTGGCAAATCAAACGCCACCTGATAGCGGTGCTGAGCGTCAGCAGTCGGCGGTGCGGCACTGCCATGACGTCAGTGGGAGTGGGAGGGGGGGGGGGCAGGTGGCGTGCCCTTCTCACACCGCCGTATCAGCGGCCATCAGCCTCCAACTTCAGGGTGTAACGGGGCCGCCACGAGAGCCAATGTGCCGAGTTCCCTCCTCAGGAATAATGCGCGCAGTATCAGCGTCTCAAGTTTCGGCTCTCTCGGCAGCGTCCGCGCAGATACGGCATGTGCGGGGGCTCTGTCGCGGGGACTGGTCTCCGCGCCAGCTATGCTGGCACAACTCGCCGGGGACCAGCGCGTCACGTGACAGCCGCGTTATCGCCAACGGCAGCCGTTTTGTCGCGACCGCCTCTGGCCACCAGCACCGCCACGGCGCCGCTCCTTGGGTCCCTGAGCGCTCTCTCCAGGAGCAGGGGCGGGCCTGGTCCCGTTCAGCCACCCCCGCTGGCCGCGTGCGCTGCAGATCGGCGGGTCGTAGGCGACAAACGATAATTTACAGACAACGGAGGTCAAATCGAGCACGACATACCGCACAGACGTGTACTCCGGAGCCATATAAAAATGTGTGTATATATACACACACACACATATATATATATATATATATATATATATATATATATATATATATATATACATCATGCATTTATTTGGCTTGACCAGTAAATATACGGTTTTAGGCCATGCAAAATCGGGTGGATAGTATGTATTTTACAACTTCAATTCTAAAGGAGCGGCTTTTGAGTGTCGCATGAAGTGATTACGCTAGACTCGTCACTACTCCTGTCGGCGCGGGGTGGCGAATTAAACGTCAAGCATTAGGGTCGACCAACGTGATGACTTTGACCTGTTTCACAGCACTACCAAGCGCACTACCTTGAAGTTATTTCAGATTTTACCACATTTCTGGGATTGAAGCTACGGTTCTTCACGTGAAAGCATTTGCGAGTATTGCGCCGATGCAGAGTTAAAATAGAGCAACAAAGCCAAACCATCCATCAACTCTGACCTTAATCGCCGTTATTCACACGCGCATGAATGGACACAACATCGAAATACTGCATTGCATGTGATGGCTAGAACATGTGCAGAAGAAATCTGCCTATGCGCGGACTGCCCACACTCAGACCGCAGTCGTTTCAATTACGATGTTCACCGACGGTGTTGGTGCTGCGGAGCGTGCTCGCTGCTCCGGCCATTTTGCCAACGGTCACCGACATGATGTTTTCATCAAGAAGGCAAAGCCGGCCCCAGTACACAGATGATAAGCAGGCGGCCAAATCCAGCCCCACTCGGCTCGAGGGGTGCGGCCAGTCAAATCGAATCGAACAATGACCAGGGCCTGCCCTGTTGCCGGCGCGGCGGCCCGAGCACAGAGCAACGGCTGCGCGGGCGCTGACGCGGCGGGATTGCGTGCCGCCCCGGCCGAGCCCGGCGGCGGCCGGCCGGTGGCCCACCTGCTCACGGACGGCCGCCGGCAAACAACCCGACCGGCCGACACACAGACAAACACGCGCTGACAGGCGCAGATTCCGCCTGCGTACACAGCGGCCGCCCTCGGCTGCCGGAGACGGAGCGTGGCGCTGTCGGCTGCGGCCGCGCGAACCGCTCGCCCGGCGGCGGTGATTGGCCACTCCCTCAGGCTCTCCGAACCACACGCAGCTTGGAACTCCGGCCGAGCGGCCGGCCGCTCGACAGGCAGCGCTCCTTTGTCACACATCGGCGAGTATCTGTCCAGAGTACGTCCAGGAACGCCCGCGCTGAACTTCAGGGTCTGGCAACGAACCGCTCTCCACGCCGGTTACGGCAGTTATTCGCGTGGCTGAGGCGGTTCTGTCAAGCCCGATCCCCAGAACCACTCAGCCCGCTGAAAAGCCGCATCCATTCAGTGGCCGGCTGGACAAGGCGCCGCAAAGTGCCGCCGGAGGCTGCAAACCGTCGCACGTCGGTCGGGCGCGCGGGCCGTGGGCTAGCACGGCACGGCGCGGACAGGAGGCGATGCATACCTGTCCGGCTTCGCGCTGGCGGTGAAGAATGTAATGGCCAGGGGCCGTAGGACAGGTGCCAGGGTTGAGGGCATCGCGGTGCGTCCGTGGCGTGCGTTCAACACGCTACGCTGGGTGGGGGAGGACGGCGCGGCCGAGACATCGGCGCATCCAACGCCTGCCCGAACGCGTCAGGCCGCATCAGCCTCGTGTCATCATTTGCCGTACGCTCTTCCAGCTGCTAAGGATGCTCCGTAGTTCACTCTGACCTCCTGAACCACCGCGCAGACTCAGTGATGCCGCCCCACTCATGAGGCGTGCTGCCGTTCGCAAACCTTGCCCGCCGCAGCGCGGCCTTCCTCACTTCCACTGCTGTCAAACAGCGCCTTTCGCAGCTTTTGCATGCCCGACTGTCGTGCATGCGCCAGGTGTCAAGTTTGAGTACGTCGCCATCTGTGGGCATGCCCTGTTCTAGTTCGCTCGCAACAGTCGTCCTCCAATCTGAAATCCGAAAGCCCTATTACGGACTGTCCCATACATGCATATATACCGATCTATCTATCCGCCAGCCGGGCTTAAGTGTTGCTGTCGTGGAACGGCTTGCTTGAGACGCCGCCCCCGGGTCAGACGATAATCGCAACAGGGCCGAATGCGTTCCATTTAACTCCAGGCCACATCCCAGATCGTAGGCCGGGACTCAATCACACCTCTGTTGGCCAGCACCGGCACGTTCCACGGAAAATGACGCAGGCCACGGCTGTTCATCGTGTCCGCCGGGTTTTCCGGAGAGCCTCGGTCGTCGCCGCGGCTGTGGCCAGATGAAAGCACGATCGAGAACACCTGCCGCCAGCTGGAGGCGGCCGCAGCGTTGAGCCGGACAAGGCCGTGACCCGGCGTGACCCGGCGTGACCCGCATCCACCCCGCGCTCCAAACCCACACCGACATCGCCGCCACATACCGCAAGCCTCGAATCACGACAGCAGTTGTTGCAACAGCAGCTGTTGTTGTCTGCTGCCGGACCCGACCCGTGATGCCTCAACACCGGCCGTGTCTCCGGGCTGATCGTTCGCCCTGCCTGCAGCGCCGTACACCTTACCGGCGGATGCAGCTGATGGGATCGGCGGGCGTCACGGGCCGGCGGCGATCACGCAAAACCGCGCCGCCGATCGTTCAGAAAATCGGGCGCTGGGACGCCACAATAGTCTGATTGGCCGTGCGTGCACGTGCCGTGGCTTTCGACCCTGTGCGTGCCGCTGATTGGCTGCGTTCGACTCACGCCACGAGGGCGGGCCGTCAATGGCCGAGTCTACGGCGACGGCATCCAACGTGAGGTCGACTGCAAGTGCAGTGTCCGTCTCCGCACCGTCCGCCCGCGGACCATCCGCGGCCGGCCGGGCTCCACGCAGAGCACCACCATCCGGACATCTGACAGAAGGCATCCGACGGTGAGCATCGCTCCGGACATCCGACTTCGGGCACGCCTCCGGACATCCGACTTCGGACACGCCTCCGGACATCCGACTTCGGACATCCGACATCGGACTCCGCAGCCGCCTCTGGCGCGGCCGCCGGCGGGGCCGTTCCGTCCCATCAATGGCGCGTTCCGCCCGGCCGCCGCCAGACGCTGCGGTGGCGCCACCTGTCGGCGGCCGACGGCCGGCGGCGCTGATGGACTCTCGGACGTGGCCAGGGAGCGGAGCGAGGTCGGGCTACGGTTCAACACGCCCGCCGGCCCGGACATGATGGGTCGGCTTGAGCCGAGACGACAGCCACTTCGCCGCGCGCGGAATCTGGGTCACCGCAAACCGCTGCCCCAGAGGAGGTGAAATGATGTGAAAATGGTAATACGTGTCGGCGCCGAAGTGCGTGCGCTGCCACTTTGGAGCGCATAGGATCGCGGCCGCCGCAAACTGCCGTCCGAGGAGATAAATTGATGCCAAAGGGGGCAATACACGTCAGCGTCGAAACGCGCACGTCGCCAAAAACCTTGATGACTCGAGACAGTTACAAATTAGCAATGCCCTTCAGTCTTCACTTTTTGTGTTCTCAGTTATGATATATGATATCAGTTATGATATCGGGAACGGCTGCCTTTTTATCAGCCTCGCACATTTGCATTGGTGACGCTGCAATCGCGTCGAATGTCAGTACTGGCAAGTGTCTTGGGGCTGCGCAGCGTGCACACTCAGTGGTCACTCCGGCTCGGCTAAATGAGTTCTGTGAGTGCCCCCTGGTCCCTGAGGCTTTATGAACACCTCTCACTCACTCCTCATTAGCCATCTGAGGGTGGTCCTGAATACCACACCTCGTCGAAATTCGTCTATCGACAAGCAATCTATCTTCACACAACACAAATGCGCCGTTCCCGCGTCCGCTCCACACCTCCCTAGTCGTTCACACCACTGGACCCGGACCGAAAAACCTGCCGGCGTCGGGATTCGAGCCTGCCGCCTTGTCTGGCAGCACTCACCGAACTCAATGAAGCTGTAGGGCCGGGAGACGGTGTGCACTTGGCGGCTGTACTGGGCCTGGAACTCCTGCGCGATGTTCTCCAGGTATGAGAACGCCAGCCGCTTGGAGTAGTCCCGGCTGCAGAGCGTCAGGTAGCAGACAGCGCCGTCGATCAGGTAACTGAGGCGGAGACGACACGGTTCTCAAGCGGCCGACAGCATGCCGAGGCGGAGGGTCCGCCGTTCTCAGCCGTCGGTCGGTAACGAGGGCAGAGAAGGGTCAGGGCTCTCAAATGTCGACCGGTCGGCTGGAGGTTTTAGATTCTCACAAGCCGTCTAGTACCGGGCACAAGTCCGCGCCTCAGCAGCGCACCCACCGCTGACCTGTCTGCGGGTCTCAAACCTCAATGATGTCACTAGTTTACGGTAGGAGCACTCAAAGGCACACCTGTCACAAATTTGAAGGCTCTCAAACGTCAGCGCACGGTTCTCAAACGTCAGTGCAGGGTTCTCAAACGTCAGCAAAACGTTTTCATAGGTCAACACAGGGTTCCCAAACGTCAGCACAAGATTCTCAAACGTCAGCACAGGGTTCCCCAACGTCAGCACAAGGTTCTCAACCGTCAGCACAGGGCTCTCAAACGTCACTCGGGTAAATGGAACAGACATCCATTCACAAACTAGCCACACAGTCGCCGCAGATGTTCCTTTGTTCTCAAAAGTCGATCAGCTGCAGCAGGGCCGCACTTCGCAGCCAACTCATCGCCAAGTGCACTGCACTTCCCATACAGCGCTCCATCACATAGCTCTCAGATAGCGGCCGTTGCGAGCCCCCCATAGGCGCATGACAATAGGCGACTGCGCGGTGCACCAACAGTGCACGCATGCGCGCATCCACAATGCACAAGTGCAATATGGCGCAGACGCGTAAGACGGCAACATGAGACACAGTAGCCGCCGTCGGTTAGTTTCGCAAGCCTGCTATCGTTCAGCTGAGGAATGGAGCTGACAAAACGTTGACCCGGGCGTGACATACTGCGGCCGATCGCAGCAACACGGCTGGTGACAATTCAGCGCAGAACGAAACACAGGTGATGAAGAGCTCGCCTCTGTATTTACTGCTCTGAAAGACAAACACCAAAGTGGAGCACTGCACGCAAAGGCCGCAGCCGTGGAGATGACTGCACGTATTTTTGCGTGGGGCGGAAAGCGCCCTCGTTATTATTATTATTATTTTTTTGCTGTAGCTTCCGAATCGTTTGAGACCGGGTTATGAAACATGAAGACTTTTCCTGCTTGTCCTTTTAAGCATATCCTTAAACACAAAGAGCCTTATTTTACTAACGGCATGTCTCACTGGGATTTCGGAGGGCCATTTTCTAGAAATTGTTATCTTGTACTTACCTGATGCAAACATCGATGCAAAGTTAATGGCGTATTACATCACGGTGAGTCTTTATGTTGCACTACGATGAGTTAAAGTGATGATCAGAGTAAAATGCAAACGTTACCATGATGTTCAAACTGTATCTACGTAACATGAAAGAACACAAAACGGACATCCTGGATAACGTCCATAACGTTTTATCGCTAAAACCACATTGACACGCGGCTCACTTCGATACTTCTCAAATTATGATATATTCAGTACCGACTTCGTTTCGATTTTTAAAAAACCGCTACCATGCGGGCCAGTGTACAGCAGGTAAGTACACGCGTAGGCAGTAGGCATGATCCAGTCACTTGCACTGAGGCCGGTGTTTTGCACTTGGAGTTATCAAGAGCTCAATGACACTCAGGCTTGCGGTAACTTGCCTCCCACTTTAAGCCGATGATGCCCTTGCTGAAATGTTTGTTTTTATCCGGAAATGGGCAAATTTAGCATCGTCAATACGCTTGCGACCAGATCTATCGATTCCACCGTTTCCACAGTCGAATATGAGATCCCAGGGTGGAGGGAATGGGGGAGGGGGGGGGGGCTCAAAGAGCCTCTCTCCGTAGGTGTAGGTCCCAAAGAGCCGTCGTCATCGGAGCTTTACGACGCAATCCGCCGCTGAGGCTATATGGCGTCGCCTGCATCTCACCTTGGCAGCAAGGGTGAGCACCGTGGGGAAACCAACCCCGCACCTCTGGTTTCCCCAGACTCATTATCAAAGAAACAACAGTCGCACGAAAGTAATTAACTTCATCCACAAACATCAACTTATTATGCAAATTTCACGGTAACAACGCAAGCACACCTTGTTAGGAGATAACAAAATAACATTCCCACTGACGTCACGCTTTTCATGGATTCAAAGCTGCGCAACGAACAGATCAGTCACGCTACCGGATACGTCTAGACGGCAGAACCTGAGGTGGCGAGGCCGTAACCGATGATCCAATATATCAAGGCGGCTGCGCCGTTTGCGTCAGCGACCAAAAGCCGTTTGCATAAGCGAAGATGGCTGATTAAGGATAAATTCACGTCGGGAAAATTAACCACTGACATCTTTCGGAATGGCCTCGCGGTTCCGTATTAGGAATTAGCAGCAGGTAATACGAGTGGCTGGTTTAATTGATTTGCACGGAGATATGGCTGCTGACAGAGACCCCAGGACGCTTAATCTTACCGGTTTGTGCAGTAAATGATGCACGTACCGTCTCGCAGCAAGCCGACCATACCGTTTTTATGAAACTAAGCGGGGTGCACGCTGCAACAGGATGGGACCCGCTTCTTCACCGCACAGCGCCCGAGTATCAATGAGAAGGACGGACGGAGTATAATAAGAGAGTCTGTGAGCACTCATTCTTATAAGCACGCGCCCGTTTCCATGATGTGTGTGTGCGTGTGCGTGTGCGTGTGCGTGTGCGTGTGCGTGTGCGTGTGCGTGTGCGTGTGCGAGTGCGTGTGCGTATGCGTGTGCGTATACGTGCGCGTGTGCGTGCGCGCGCGCTTGCGCGTGCGCGCGTGCGCGTGTGCGTGTGTGTGGGCGTGTGTGTGTGCGATGACGGTTTCGGCTTTAGGGTGCGCTGTTGAACAAGCAGGTGTCCTTCTCTGTGGAGCGCCTAAGTACTCACTGGAACAGGTAGGGTCCCGTCTCTATGGAGCAGCGGGTGGGACTCTGCGGTGTCAGCTTCCGGAACAGCATCTTGGCCTGATTCTGGTAGTCCAGAATGTTGCGTCCGGTCTGAGGCAGGACATCAGGGGATGTTACTGACTCACACCAGTGCCAGAACAGGGGGAGAGGCCTACACCAGGGCATGCAAGCCCACTTCTGAACCACAAGCATTTTTATGTAAACAAGAGGAGTCACAGCTTTGCATTCAATCATCAGGCACACAATTTGACAAATGAACAAAACTCCAAATATATGCATTGGTAGAGATGATACAGGCCAGAGAGGTCATATGGCATCATCTGCATTTCACCATGTCAGGGATGGCAGGTACTGCTGGGGGTCACATCCTGTAGCTACAGCTTTTTTAAGATGTGCAGTCTTACCACCGTGCTAATAGTGCTCGTTCAGCTAATGGTACCCACTGCTGTCCTCTGAGACATTAAGGCATCACATTAAAAACAATGCATCCCAAATTTCTCTCAGCAGCCCTGTTACAGGTTAGGTGGTGTCAGAGGGTACTTTGTGACTTTGACAGAGTCTCTGACAAACTTTGTGGATCAAATTCAAACTTAGCACAAGGTTTTGTTGTCATCCTGGAATTTCGCAAGTGGGTGGTAAGGGCCAGGACTAATGCAAAAGGCACTGCTTGGTACAAACTTTGATTACAGAAATATATCAATACAGAAGGTTCTGTCTGTTGGTCTGTCTGTCATTGGGGCTCTATGACGCACTCAGCTGCTGAGGCTATGTGGCGTCACCTGCCTCTCACCCTGGCAGGAAGGGCGGGCACTGTGGGGAATCAAACCCTGTACCTCTCGTTTCCCAGATGCACAGTGTAACCACTACGCTACGGGCACCCCCAGAAGGTTCTGTCTAATTTGATTTGTATATCCATTAGTCTCTTGGGAAATATAAATTATATTTTGCAATCTCATCTTTACATAAAGTCAGCAATTAACTCCTTTCACTCAAAACTCATGAGAGCTTTGGGTAGCTATTGACCAATCCCAAAATAGCATGCACTACAGCATTACTTCCTCTCAAATATTTGCTCAAATGAAGTAATATACAAACTGAGAATAAGGGTGGATCCACTTAGCATAGGATGACATAGCATCTGTGCCAGGCCTAATGACGCATAATTTGTGTCATTCAGTTTCTGCCAAGCCTGAAAAACATCATTTCATAATATGATAGCATCAAGCAAAACACATTACATATTGACTGATCCAATATTTCACTTCATATAGCACACATTATTGTCTTATCTTCAAGTTATTAAAACATTTCCACCACAGATGCTTTACAGTGACAAATAAGCTATGAAAAAATTGTGTAACAGGCACAAATTTTGCATGCAAAATGATCTGATCAACCTACCTCCCAGAATATATATTGAACATAAATTAAACACACATTGAACACAATTTTCATGTGACAGGAATGTGAGCATTCAGCACAATTTTTTTCTGGTCTGGACCAAGCACACAAGCTAGGGGTTTAGCAAACACATGTGTATAGTGTCCTGAGACAGTGGATGGGTTTTGGCAGAATAGAGTGAAGGGAGCACAGAGATGATGTCCAAAAACCTGGCATGATGCTATTGATGAGGTACAAAACCAGCCCTCCACCCAAAAGAAAACAAACATGGACAGGGGAAAGTATTGATTAGAGGATGAAGTTCTGGTGTGATGAACACTTAATTCATCAGAGGATAAATTCTTACCTGTTCATCCTCCTGGATTGATGCTGCCAATGGTAAACCATCAGCAACCCTTGCAATCATGGTCATCAAAACCATATTTTCTGCAGTACTGATCTGTCTGCCTTCCAGAAACAAGACTCTGTCTCTGATATCAAATAATTTAGGATGACAACCTGATCAAAATGTCTGAAAGTCTCTTTGCATGTCAGTGGGAGTATCAAGTTGGTTGAACTACTTGACTTTTACTAGCACTTTGACAATTTAAGAATGCCGGGCTACAAGGGCATGCACGATAAAACGTAGAGTGGCGTGATTCCGCGAACTTGTCACCTGCCACCCCTGCCGATCTCATGTGCCAGACATATGCTTAAGGCAAGGCTTAAAGTCGCACAAACAAACTCCACACACTGAAGAAGTTATGCGCAATATATGTACTAGATGCGTCAAACAGATTTGTTGTCAAATACGTAGCCCAGCTGATGTGGCCTTACGTGTTCAATAGCTCAAACTTGAAAAGCTAGATATGAATTCATTAATATAGCTAATTCTGTAAAGTATTGGAAATAAGTACCTTTTAAAACAATTGTACTCACAGAAATGCAACACAATTGATGTCAAAAATGCATGAAATACTGATAACGTTTAGTTTTTTATTACGTAGTTTGCTGTGAGCCTATGCATAGAGAAGGACTTTACTCTTGACCGAAACATCTCTTACACGAATACGAATGACAGGTGGAGTTGAGTATCGCGCCTCAACTGCATGAGAGGATAAATCTGTGTGCATTACGTGCCAGCAACTATATTCCCAACTTAAGTAAGCAAATTTATGTAAGATAGCTACTCGATGATAACCACTACTTTGCTGCCACATTAAGAAGGATGCGCGAGACCGCTCGCAGCAGAAAATGTTAAGAATACTTGGCGTGACGGAACGAGCATCTTTCAATCGAAACAGTTAAAATTAGACTAATTTCAATGCCAGTTAGTGTGGCCTCTGCCAAATCTACCATACCACCCTCTTCACCTAGGTGCAGACGTGGACGTAATCGCTCCTCGAATGTTGGAGCTCAGGTTCATGCCTGCGTTGGTGTTAATTGGCATCGCCCAAGCACAATAACCCAGTCCGACCAAAAGTTATTGTGTTCCTGAGCCCATCAACCATAGTGGTGGTTACGTCGGTACGTGTAAGCACTGCGACAGACGTCAGACCGCCAAGACAAGACAAGACGAGTGCTATCTTAACACATAAGTGGCAGGAGTGTCTTGTTTAGATAGCTCTCGTAGCTGCACAGGCGTACCCGGAATCTCGCTTGTGAGACCGGCGCTTGGTGCCCCGTACTTTAGCCTCGGGAGATCTTTTCCTGAACTTGAAGGCTCGAGGCTCTGTTTTGATACATTGGGAGACCGCTTGTTTGACGTTTATGGCACAAAGCTTTTGTGGCTTAAACGGTCAAAGGTGTATTTGGAATTTTGATCCCGCAGGGCCTCTCGCTCCCTTCAGGGAAGCGAGGGAGCGTGACCCAAAATGTGCTCAAACTACCCGGCCTTATAGATGGCATGCCGACAATCCCAAGAGTCCTGAACGAATGATCATTTGGCCACAATAAACTCGAATCCCAACTATTATTTTGCGATTCCACAGGCCGCCGTGATATTCAAACTGGCCCAGTGTCTCTATAGACTTGCTTTGTGTCTCTTCAGACTGGGCTGGTGTCTCTTAGACTGGCCTGGTGTCTCTTCAGACTGGTCTGGTGTCTCTTTAGACTTGCTTCGTGTCTCTTCAACTGGTTTCATGTCCCTTGTGGGACCGAAGCCCTCCTCTTCATATCATACAAAGGAAACACACGTCAGAACCGGTCTGTATCAGGACGCGTCTCGGGCTACGGCCCCTCAGTCACCCTGAGGCGCCTGCCCCTCGCCCAGATGACCGTAGATTATTTTGGGATCCAGCTGCACCAAGGGCTGCCTCTGCCTGCCACGGACACTGTGCGAGACTGAAGACTTGGGATACCACTTCCGGCCCTTGTGGACATCCCTCTTTCGTTCCTCATCGACAATGGTGGCAGCAGCTGTTGAGGGGACCTGTGCCCCCCAAGACGGACTCAAGCCTCTCCAGCTGCAGTGATGTCGCGGTCTGGATCGTTCGTTCACCGTGACGGTGCGTCGCCCCTATGCCAGGCCATCGCCGGGGTACTAACTTTTCTGGACTTCTTCTCATCCAGCAGCATCGTCCCAGTGCTCAGCCCCGCGTAACATCGCATGCCCTGACGCCCACCCATCGGCTGCACTGGGCTGCAACGAAGCCTGCCGACATCACACGGCCGACCAGCCCGCACCGTGCGTGGTCTGCTCAAACCATTGAGTGCCTCTTTGCCATCAGCGTCGAGGAAATAAATACGAATTTCCAGCATTTTTGCTTTGACCAACGCCATGGAAACGAAAAATCAAGGAGCAGAGGGATTGTTTTTAAATTCTTGTGATTTGCACCTCCCCATCCTGCACAAAAATACAAAATAATAAAAAAGTGTCAAACGGTGGAAAGCGTATTCTAAAGTGTTGTGGTCGCCAGATATGGTACAGTGTCTTGTGTGCTGTGTATGGCGTACTTGTTCTGTGTTGGCTGTGCTGTTCCCTCTAAATTTGTGAGAGGTCCGAAGTGCATTTTTCTGATCATTATTGATATTTTGCACCTCGCGATATGTCATATCGACATTTCATGTGGAGGCGTTCGCATCATGTATGGACACTCAGCTACGTGCAGCATCGTGGTTAATGCGCTAAAATTTATACGCATATGTAATTCAGGCCAGTGCAGCCGAAGCTGCCAGAGATGGCGAGGATGGCCCTGCCAAAGAGCAGTAAATCATCCAGACGTAAACTTCATAACTATGACGACCATAAGCCCCCGTGGCAAGTAGCAGATGCAATTACCACGAATCAGCTTACTATTCTGTCCATGCTATCCTTACAGTGGCCGCACCTCTAAATTTTCTCTGCGCGCATGTCCAGGCATTTGCTCTCTTTGCTGGGATCGCTTCGATTCCCTACGCTTCCCTGGAGAAGGGAAAATGCGTGGGACCGAAGCCCTCCTCCTTCTATCATACAAAGGAACGACACGTCAGAGCCGGTTTGTATTAGGGTGCGTCTCGGGCTACGACCCCACAGCCACCCCGAGGTACTCGCCCCTCGCCCAGCTGACGGTCGATTCTTTTGGAGCTAGTCACACCAACGGCTGCCTTCACCTGCCACGAGTGCTGTGCGAGACTGGAGACTTGGAATGCATCTCTCGGCCCGGTCGGATGTCTCTCTTTCGTTCCTCGTCGACACTGTTTAGACTGACATGGTGTTTCTTTAGACTGGCCTGGTGTCCATGGGCGCGGAACCTTTGTTCAAGCTGGGAGGGGGGGGGGGCAAACACGAAATGGCCAAAACGGGCGCTAAAGATTAAAAAGTGGCTCCATACAAGCCGGAATGGGCCCTTTACGGCCAGTAATGGACCCTCACTATAAAATAAGGTCAGAATGGGCCCTCGTTTTATAATGGGTCAGCATGGGCCCTCATGCCAGAATGGGCTCTTTACATGTCTGAAATAGACCCTCTCCAGCAGGCCAGCATGGGCACTCCATGGTCGATATAATGCCCGCTAGGCATAAAAATGAGGCCTTTGCAGGCCAAAATTGGCGCTCCGCAGAAGTGACCCTTCTACAAGGCAGAATGGGTTTTCTGCAGGCCAGAATGATGGGAACTACAATCAATAATTGGCCCTCCACCAGGGAAAATGGGCCCCTTTACAGGTCAGAATGGGCCACGTTTAGGTCTGAGTGGGCCTTCAAAGTCAATAATGGACCCTCTACAGCTCATAACGGATCCTCTACACGTCATAAAGGGCAGAGCAGAATGCGTTCTCTAAAGGCCAGGGTGAGCTTTCTTCAGGGCGGAATGGGTCCTCCAGTCAATAATGGGCTGTTTACAGATCAGAATTGGTATTCCACAGTCAATAAAGTCTCCTCTTTGAGCCAGAATGGACGCTACAGTCAATAATGGACCTTATTCGGGTCAGAATGGGCCCCCTGGCCATCCGCAGCCAATGATGGGCCCTATACTGGTTCTAATGGGCTCTCTACTGGCCAGAATGAGCCTCCCGCAGCCACATATGTACTCTACAGGAGAGAATACAGAAGAATACAAAAGAATGCAATCTCCTCTACAGAAGAGGAGAGTGCACTCTACAGCAGAGTGCGCTCTACAGTGCACTCTGCAGTCAATAATGGCCCTTTATACGGCTGATTGGGCGACTGTACATGCCAGGATGTACCCTCCACGATCGGTAATAGGCCTTCCACACGTCCGAATTGGCACTCTGCGAGCCAGAATGAGCCCTCCACGGCCTAAAATTGGCCCTCCTCAGTCTATAATGGGCCCTCTACAAGCCAGGATGGGTCCTCAACAGGCCAGAATTATGGGAACTGCAGTCAATAATGAGCCCTCTACGAGCTCGCTTGGGCCCCTCCACAGGCTAGAATGAGCCATGTACAGGCCTGAATGTGAACGGGGACCCCCCACAGACCATAAAAGATCCATCACAGCTAATAACGGGTCTTCTGCACGTCATAATGGGGCCCCTTGCAGGTGAGAATGGGCCCTCTAAAGGCCGGAATGGGTCCTGTTCAGGCAAGAATGCGGCCGCCAGTCAGTAATGCGTCGTCTACAGGTCAGAATGAGCGTCTTCAGGCCGGGATGGGCCCTCCGCAGTCAATAATTTTTCAGGTCAGAATGGACTCTCTACAGGATAAGAAGTGCTCTCTTGTGGTCAGACTGGATCCTAAATAGTTCAGAATGGGCTTGTAAGGGTTTACCTAATCCCTTCACAGTTCAGAATCGTCTTTGACATACCAGAATAGGCGCTCCACAGGCCCTTCAAGGTGGGAGACGTCGCCCAGCTTTTAAGCCGGGAGGGAAAGCTGTCACACTACCCCCTTCCCCCTTCCCCTGGCTCCCGTATCCTTTCTGTTGTCTCGCTGACAATGTGCTGGAGCCACGGCGGCGCTGGCCTCTGTTTTGACCGTCCTTGACTGTGTCGGGACTGAAGGCTGCGATCAGCTGACCCGTGTCGGCACTCGTCTAGATCGGGGACACCGGTTCAGCAACGGCAACGTTCCGCTGGAACCGGCACTGGCGCTGGCGTTCAGCAGGCTGATTGTCCACCACCATTTCGTGGTAACGACTCAGCACCGTTATTGTCATTCCCGGGGCGCTTCAGTTACCCCGGCATGGACTCGGGTAGTCAGTGCAGACTGCGGGCAACTATAAATGACCTACAGTTGATGGACCCATTGGTATTTTTACGAAGCATAGTAAGGACCGTTACACTCGCGGCCATAATGCGAGAACTATGTGCGTCACTCGCTG